ATTGATAACAAAAAACTTGCCAGGGAGTTAAAAAATGTTGATAAAATTGAATCTCAATCAAATCCTTCTGATATTTGCACAGCGATGTTCGATTTTCAAAAAATAAATAACACTCCATATGGCGAAATTAGTGTGTGTATTACACAAAGGAAATTATCAGTTTATAATTTTACAGTGTTTGATGCTGGGTTAAAGGAAGCTACTTGTTACATGTGGGATAAGACAGTTGCTAAACATGGCGCCAATGAAGTGGCTAGTTGTTTGTTTTCTTTCGTTAACAACAAAGTTAAAGCTGGCATCAAAGATTTTAGATTCTGGTCAGACAACTGTGCCAGTCAGAATTGCAATCGTATTGTTTTTTTATGTACTTGTATGTAAGCAATACATTCAAAGTAGACGTGTGCCATCGATTCTTGGAGAATACTCAAAATGAGGCAGATAGAGTTCACGCATTAATAGAGAAAACAGCAAAAAATAAACTTATTTACACACCAGATGAATGGTACACCCTGGTTCGCTGGGCAAAACAGAATAGCCCAGCTTATACAGTCATAGAAGTAAATCAAGACTTAGTTGTGAATTTCAAAGCTTGGCTACATACTAAAAACTAGATAAAAGATACAAATTCAGAAAAAATTTCTTGGAATAAGATAAGAGACGTAAAAGTGCAATGGAATAATACAGACATTATTGAATTTAAAAAGGTTTCTTTTGAAGAAAATTATAGATAACTGAACTGTGGCCTGAATTTGAAATTGACTAGAGGGAGGAAAAAGAAGGAACAAGAAACAAAACTAGACAAGTTGTACAATAATCCTATTCCTATCACCGAAGTGAAATATAAAGACTTGGTTAGTTTATGCGATACAATGATTATCCCAAAAAAATGTCATGACTTCTACAAGAATCTTAAGCATAGTAAAGAAGAACAGGGTGATGACGAAGAAGATTAAAATAATCTATACTTAAATTTTTTATATAAATTTTATTTTTTTATTTAACTAGTTACCAAAAAAAATTTTATAGTAATAAGATAAATCAGTCTGAATAAAGCTGTGATGATTATTAAATATTACCAATTAGGTAGATAGAATATGAGGCACATACATAAATAACGCTGTGATTTTGATTTAATAGTACTAATTAGATAGATAGATAACTAAGCTAAGGTACATACTTCATTAAATAAAGATGTGATGAATATTAAATATTACCAATTACAAAAATAAAACTTTGATTAAAACTACTTTTACGGATTTTATCGCGTTTATTTTACTATTATTTTTATTCCCGACGTTTCAGGCGCTTTCCAGCACCCATGGTCACGGGGGGACTGAGATGACTGACGTCCCGATGTCATTGTTAAACCCGGAGTACCTTCAGCTTTTTTAATTATTGTTTATGGTCCGATCTATGCAAAATGAACTGTCCTGAGGTCTTGCAGTGGTATGCTTGGGTTTAGTTTTAATTTTATTGATTATAGGATCCCAAGCAGGTGGTCGTACCCAGCCTCCTTCTCTATTGAAATTAGGATGTTTTTTAATTTCAATAGCTTCATGTATCATCCTTGGTAGGAATTGGTGTTCTTTCACGAGGATTTGTGGTCTATCAAACCTGATGTAATGGTTGGGGCCGTCTAGAATATGATCGAATATGATTCGAAATTTTTATTAAATGATTTTTATGAAAATCGCCTTAATAGGGAGGGGGTGGTCTCCCCCATTCGCCGAAATAACACTTAAGTGTAGTCAAAGGAGCCCTGCTATACTGGGCTCCAATTACTGGGTGGTTTATAAAAAACTAACCATGAAGAGGATGGTGGAGTCTGCTCTCTAGCTTTGCTCGCTCATTCGACTCCCTCAAGCCCCTTCTAACCTAATCCGCCCGAGTCATGGTGACCCAAGTCCCGAGCTTGCTTTAGTTGCTCTTGCACCAAATAAAACACCAGAATATTAACTTTTATAATTACTTTAATAAGTAAACATATTTTATCACTTCCACCATTTACAAAAATGGATTTTTATTATATTTTAGAATGTTTCGCCTCCACAAGCACTCCACTATCGCATCATCAAAATTCTTCGATATATTGTGATTATCTTTTTTTTTTAAACATTTCATGGTTCTCCATTGCGACTCAATCTTTAGTGTGTGAGTCCCTTCTGGAGCTACAAATGGATTATCAGGGTCTAAATGGTTGTACCCATGTTCTACTATGTACTAAGTAAGCAGTCATATGCTCTCCAATAATCTGGATAAATTGTGGTGCACATTTCTGTTTTTGAAAGGGCACCATTTAATGCATTTTGACTGATACAACATAAAATTTTTTTGTGTAATTTAAGTTCCATTTTAAATGTACACAATATTTTTAGAAAATTATTATAAACATTTCAACGCAGCTCCAACAGCGGGTGGCTTTAGTAATCTGCTGCACGATTTAAGTGATCATTTTAGCTTTAGTTGATAGGTAATGATGCTATTGATTACCATCTAGCTGCTTTTTATGCCGGAAATCCTTAGTTTTCGAGATATCGATAATTTTAGTTTTGAGGTTATGTCCATTTAAAAATGATACTGAAACGAAATAACAACATAATTATTTGATCATTTTAGCTTTAGTTGACAGGTAATGACTCTATTAATTATCATCTAGCTGTTTTTTATGCCGGAAATCTTTAGTTTTCGAGATATCGACAATTATAGTTTTGAGGTTATATCCATTTAAAAATGATACCAATACGAAATAAGAATATAATTATTACAAAGAGATAGCAATAGAGCGTGGTCTGTACTCTGTTTTAAAAAAAATTACTGCCGGGAGACAGTCGTCATTTACCAAATAGAGCAACAAGAGGCCATCGGCAAGATTGGTGGCCCAGGAAAAGTAGTCCAAACAGACGAGTCAAAATTTTGAAAACGTAAATATAATAAAGGTAATTTGATTTTCTTATATTACAGACTGAAACAATATATTTATAATAATAATATAATGATAATTAAATTTATTTCAGACCCACATATAGTCCATAATATGTTAGTAAATTAGCTTAACCTATGTTAGTCTTAAATTATTACACATTATTTATTTTAAAGTTTACTTTTGAACCCAAATTATCTTTTAATACCTTTTATTAAATATATTTGAATACCTTTTAAAGCCAAAATATCTGGAAGAAATCAGTTTCAGAGTGATAAGACAGCCTGTTGTACATATTCTGCTATAAAATTTTGTACTTTTGTATTTGTTTTTTTTTTTTTTGTAATTTTGTACTATTGGGTTTTGGTGTACACTGTACAATATAGAGTAAATAAATAAATAAATATCTTGAATATTTACTAACTCTAAATTGTTTATTGTTGATTTTAGGAAGGCAGATTGAGGGCCACTGGATCCTCGGCCTCATTGAGGATGGAAGTGAGGATTTACGACTAGAGGTGTGCCCTGAAAACATCAGGTTAGCGGACATACTAGTGCCCCTAATTAAAAAACATGTGGTTGAGGGCACCACAATCCATACCGACTTCTGGAGGGCTTATGATTGTTTGGGGCAACATGGGTACATTAAGAAGAAGCGCACTCAAGTGATGACGTGCGGAGAACCAACATTTATTAACCAGCTTGGTCGACTGGCTACCCTCGAGGCTGCTGACCCCAACATGGGTACATTCACAAGAAGGTGAACCATTCAGATCCTGAGAACCCATTTGTTGCCCCTGATGGCACTCATACTCAAAGAATCGAATCGCAATGGCGGGTGGTTAAAAGATTTTTCAGTAAATACAATTATAATCACCTGGAAAACTTTTCAGACATTATTATAGAATATTTGTGGAGAAGGTCAGTGCAAAGAAAAAAAAAAGGATCCTTTTATGGAACTAATTAAAGTAATTAACCATGTATATAAATAAATGTTTTTATAATATTATATTTGGTCATTTCTTTTGATCAAACTCTAGTACCAGAAGGTATAAATCACAAAACCGAATCTGTCAACCCCAACTTCCACGTGGTCTTTCCGCTCTTACCCCTAGAGTGTATATGAAAATCCGGAAGCGCGGAGGGAATGCAGCCCTCGCCCGCTGTAACTAAGCGTAGGCAGCGTACGAGCCGTAGCGGCTGAGGCTGGTCGCCGAAGGCGACCAAACAGCCGAAGCTGCGCAGGTGAGCTAGGTGCCTGTGCTTAGTTACGCAAGGGCGAAAGGGCTGCACTTCCCGCAGCGCTGGAGCAGAAGCAGAGTCAAAATAGTGTTAATTCCCACCGTTTTTCCCACCCTAAATACTCCCACATTCCCACCGGGACCCGAATGTGAGTTTTTCGTCGCCGGACGCCCTTTTTTTATTAAACGAAAGCGAATTTTCCTTAAATGTAACAAAACTTTAAAAATTCATAAAAAAAAAAGGGGGGGGTTTCCGGCACTTTTTCCTTTCAGGGGGGAGGTTCCGCCCCCCTCCCCCCCCTCCCCACCCACTCGGCGACCATATATTCATGCAGCAGATTACTAAAGAAAACCCCCCAACAGCTAAAATTGCATGGGGATACTTTGAGATAAGCCTCCTTGACCCCCCCCCCCCCACAGTGATATATTCAGGCGACTTAATGCTAAACCCATCCCAAATAAAGTAGACTAAACTTAAGATGTGCATATTGGCAGCAAAGATGCAAACCGTACTAATGCGACTATATTATGTATGTGGGTTTGAGTGCGGGAAACAGAGGGGTTCTCGCATTGCAGTTATTCGCACACTAAATAAAGGAAAATACCAAATAATAATTGAAGTATTTTGATTTAAAATATTATTAAAGTGAAGTTGCGTGGTAGTAAACCTGAAATGTAACTATTTATTTATTTAGTTTTGCAGTAGATAATCATCTGCGTCTTGATCAATTTCTAAGTTGTATCAAAACTACTCCGCAAAACTGACACTAATTATTAAGATATGCGATACAATTTATATTAATAAGTGAAAAAAATGCATAATAAACTATAACACTTACGGGGCTCCATGAAATCAAATGATTGGTTTCTGAATCATTAACCAATTTCCATAATTTTCCCAAGAACGCAGGGACACTAGCCCCTATTTCTACAACTGAACGCATTTTTCAAGTCTTCTATGTACTAACACTACTTTTAGGAAATAACTTCGCGTTGAAAAATATTTTTGTGAAACACCAATCTAGCCACAGAACGCCATTTGATCACAACACCCATATATATATAGTTATAGTTATAAAGTATACTATACTACAAACAGAATACAGATTACAGATATATATAGATCGTATACCTACTTAGCGTAGATCGAATAACAACTCCCACACATATTGAATAAAGGTACAGTGTTGCCAGATGTCTTAAACCCTTCATCTGTATTAGATACTGCTAAAATCTGTATGCTATTTAAACTTAAAATTTGTATAAAATATGTATAATATACCTAATAAACCAAAATAGAATAATTGATCATCATCATCATTGCTACTTTTGAAAAATAAGGAATAACTACTAACATGATAAGCTGATAAAGTTTGGTTATCGTTATTAAATAAAAATATATTTTTTTTTATAGAATAAGGGTGACAAACGAGCACACAGTACACCGATGGTAAGTGGATGCTGTGGCCCATAGACACCTACATTTATCCTCGCTTAAGAATCAAGACGCAGATGCGTTGTCACGCCTGAGGACTAAGATAGAATGCCTTGTTTCCAGTAAAAAAGGGTCTCCGGATTTCTACACTCACCATACGAAGCACAGCAGTATTAAGCTGATATTTTATGCCGTTATTCTGTGAGAGCGTGGTCCTTCCCCGGTCGAGCTGACTCATTCGTGCTGCAACCATAATATAGCTGCAGCGTGGCTCTACCAAGTATAAAATATACACTATACACTAAAATTTTTATATGGCAAAATTGAAAACATTAATTTAAACAAACAACGTATTAAAACTCAAACATTTGCAGCGAACAAACATATAATTACTTTATTACTTTCAGTCATACATATTTTATAATACACTTGTAATTCTGCCGTACTAACTACGTTGTGAAAAAATAAATAAACCATAAAGAATAGAATCATGAATGTGTGTAACGCGGTATCTAGTCACTTATTTTGCTTCATTCTGTTTTAAGTTGAATATTATGGTAATCCAATCAATAGAGTTGGAAAACTCTGTATAAAAATCTGTATCCAGTGCTAATCTGTATCACACACCGAAAATCTGTATATATACGGGGAAATCTGTATATATGGCAACACTGTAAAGGTAACACAAGCACCAAGCACAGGCTAGCCCAGTGTTGCCGTATGAAGAAAAAAGATGCACTAAACCCACTGACCTCATATATAGAGGTCAGTGACTAAACTTTTATCAAAATTGCGCTATATTTTACAAAAATACAAAAGGTTGCGTTCTAAAATCCACCAAATTCCGCTAATTTGTATCCTGTAAATGTATAAGGAAATAAGAAAAATTCGATTTCAAAAAATCGATTCGAATTCGATTATTTAAATACATCTTCATTTATTTAAGTAATATTAAGTACTAATATCAACTAAATTAGACAATTTCACTACGTTTTCATGGAATCATCACCTCCAGATGCCGATAATAATCCTAAACCTGCTTCTATTCTTTCTTTCTGCAGAGTATTAGTAATTTGTCGAGGACATTTTCAGGTAAGTTCTTATGTGTGGCAGCATAATCGTATCATTATATTTGATTTCACTGTTTCAGCTGACATGCGCTTACGTAGCTTACTTTTGACAATGTTAATAATTACGAAAACCCTACATACTTCGGTGTTTGAATGTGGAAGTGACAGTACGCTGATAGCTAAGTCCACAATCTCCCGAAAGGTATTCATCCGCCGCATTTTTGAATCTAGAGACTTGAGCCCAAAATTTCATTATACCATCACGAACATCTTATTTGACTTATTAAATTCCATGCCATTTGCTCCCACTCAGATTTATATTTCTGGGTATAAGCTTTCTTCCACGGGGGCAAATCCACTTAAAATTTTCACGAAACAAACAAAACTGAGCTAAAAGACTAACACGAAACTCGAATATGAAATGACGATAATGAAAAGCTAAACAGCTACATAAAAGCATAATGCAAAAGGAGAAAAAAAATTCACCGGCAATATTTTGTTCGGATAATACCCCTACGACAGACTCAAGTGGAGTTTAGAAGTAAGGAGGACCAATTCCTATAGTAGAATAGTTGAAAAAGTGGCCATCTGTAAGCAGTAAATAACAGTTCAAAAACTCTCCATAACAGCGCTGGAGTAGCTACTGGGATGAAATGAACTTAGAAGTTGCCGACGGTTTAAGTGTGCTGCTAGACTGCTCAATAGCTAAAAGTAGTCAGTAGTAAAATCTAAAATAACATCATAAATATAACCTCGAAAAAGTCGTCTATCCCACTAATATTTATCGGCGCGTTCTTTAAAATTTGCCCCGTAGCTATAGTGGCGCCACCCTTATTTAACAGTTTTCTATGGACACTTTTTAATACACAGTTTGTACTCCTTACTTCTACATTCCATACTCTAGTGTTTTTTATAACACTGTGCTGCCAACTAATATCAAATTTTCCGCCAGATTCCACTATATATTTTTAGCGCTCAGGTATTTACTTAAAAGCGCTATTAAAAGCGCTATTGACCCTAGAATTGCACCAGATCTAGCGACAAATGCGCTAAAACGGCAACACTGGACTAGTCATGTCAATCTTAAATCGATTAATCGAAGAATCGATTTCTTGTGCAGAAAATATCGATATTTTTAAATCGATATACAATACTGAATCGATATTTCACTGTGGAAATTCGAGATCGAATCTTTTTTGTTTTTATAAGAACTATAAAATTATTTACAAATAGTTGTATGTACTCAAACTCGTAAGAATGACAGTTTTTCTAATGAAAACTCCCAAAACTGCTGTGTTTTTTTCAGTTACTTTCGCCTCTTGTCAATGAATTAAAGAAATAAAAATAAGTTACGTTTGTAATCTGTATTTTGTATCCTTGAATATTGCGTGAGTTTGCACTGACGAGATTTTCACAAAAAAACATGTTTAAAACCATATACAGAGAAACCTATAGACAAATTGACGCCTTCTTTCGCATTCGCGCACGAAAAATATAGATTTATGCATACGTCTTGCATAGAAATGAGACAGAGTGGTATGATTGTTTGTTCCTTTCTTCGTGCCGGATTTTGTTCAGCAAACTACACTTTGCTAAACAACTTTGTTTCGTAGCGATCTAAAGAGTTTACAAGTTGGTTCTTGTATAATCTAAAACTACACTATCGTCCTTTCTCACTCGAGGCCACGCTAATCATTAATCTATAGGTTTCTCTGTCTACTTTTCAAACCGTAGACAGAGAAACCTATAGACAAATTGACGCTATCTTTCGCATTCGCACACGAAAAAGATAGATTTATGCATACGTCTTGCATAGAAATGAGATAGAGCGGTGTGATTGTTTGTCCCTTTCCCCGTGCCGGTTTTTTTGTTTAGCAAACTCTACAGTTTGCTAAACAACTTTAACAGCATAGCGATTCAAGGAGTTTACAAGTTGGTTTAAGTGAGAAAAAAGTGTTTTGTGACCTTAAGATTGGTGAATCTTGTTCAGTTCAGTTCTTAGAACAATTAATATTTATATCTAAATGTGTTTAAAAGTCATAAAGATTATTGTATAACCTAAAAATTCGTTATCGTCCTTTCTCACTCGAGGCCACGCCGATCATTAGTCTATAGGTTTCTCTGTCTACGTTTCAAACACTGTTCTGACAATGTCAAATCGAATCAAAAACATCAAGTCAAAGAACATAAGTATTGTTGTGAAATATGTTTGACAGTTTATTGTACAATACCTATTTTAACTATATTATATCTATGTAACTAACGAAACAAAATGTTTGATAACAAGTTCGTAGAAATATTGTCATGTTGAAAGATATGACGTCAATTTTGTATTTGTAGGCACTTAAACTTTTTAAAAATAATGGATTCTAGCGATGAAAAAGTTTCATTTTTTTATCTATCAGTGCTGTACATTTACAACAAAAAATATCGTAATCTGTATTGATTTTTATTTCCTTGGTTTAACTTATCTAATAACTTTATAGACAGAACTAAATTTGCTGGAGAAATTTTGTCTCCCGTCAGTTGTGTTCTAGTATTACGCACGTTTGAGAAATGTATTTCTGTACCTTAGAACCACCGGCTATTAAACGGCCAGAATACTAATACAGTGGATTTAGGGTATAACGACGATGAAGGGACCACTCTGTTTTCGTCGTTATATCCGGAAGTCGTTACAAGCAAGGGTAAAGAGATACAGACACGTACACATGTTCATAGTTTATATTCATTTATTATCAAAATATTTTCACACATAGATATTCACTGGTACATTTCAAAATGCTACTCAGAATATCATTTTTTAACTGAACTCCTAAACGTACACGTTTACCTACTTAGCTGAAATCTATAAACAAAAGATAAAGGTCTCCACACTTGCTGACCATCTGTGTGGATTTAAAAAAAAAAGATAACAAATGTTTGTGAAAGAAAGAAATCTTTGTGCCTTTGGCGGCTGACTCCGGTCATAATATCTGCATGGGATTTTTAGGAATTTGTTACAAATGATTCATTAAAAAATGTCGCTACACCCGAACTCGGCGTTATATCTAATTTTTGGCAATACTTTACGGAATTTAAAAATATTTGAACCATTAATTTATACATTACACTAGATTAGTAATTACCGCGCCAAAGCGTTGTCCGAATTGTCTGTGACAAGAGCGAGTTCCTGGAAATCGGGATGAGCTTACAATGCAACGTCAGAAAGACTTTCTTTGCAGGCCTCGAAAGCTTTTAAAGATTCGCCTGATAAGGTAATTGGTTGATTATTTTTCAACACGCCTTTCTATAAAATGTTGAGCGCAGCTTGCTTTTCTGCGGCACGTGGTAAAAAACGTCTGTAAAAATTGATCATGCCTAAGAAACGTCGTAGCTGATGTACGTTGGTAGGCAATGGAATTTTTTTAATGGCTTCGATTTTTGAGTGAAGTGGATT